TTTAAATTTTTATAATTAATTTTATCATTATAAAATAACTTTTTTCTTATAGTGACTAATATTCATATGACCACTGTGCAACTTCTGAGGAACTACAATAACGGAGGCTCTAACATATCTTTTTCCATTTCAGCTTCAATAATGGAGTCTCTGACATGGAATTTGAGAACTTTTCTTCAGCCCGTTTTCCACGACTTCGGTTTTCTTATTGTTATATTGCAAATTTTTTTCCCCAATTTTTGTCTCGTAATATATGTTGGACCTCAGCCTTCGCTTTGATAGTTTTCTATTCCCCACATTTTTGTAGTTACTAAAATGGTCTCATTTAATTAGTTGCAAGATTTCAAAATGGCAACCTAAACTCGAGCGTACAACTACAGCTCATGCAAAAGGTAGGCCTTAATTTGAAAGATCTCCTTAAGTTTTTCATTTTTACACAAATCTTCATTTAGAATCTTCAAAATAACAAGAAAAACTAAAAAGGTAAGTATAAATACCTAATAAATCATGATTTAAAAAAAAAAAAAATTTTACTACAATTTTTCCTTTCACTGTCAGTATTGTGTTATTGTCATATCTGCAGAGTTAAGGTGATTCTGAAAATTGAGATCAACGAAATTGCAGCTCATGTCCTTTCCAAGTGAAATTTGATGGTGAGTTGGTCTTATGCTTCCATCATCTCTCCACTTGTTTGATAAAGGTACATCTCTAGTAACCATGCATGGGGGTATATTGAGGCTATTTGCTTAGTTCTTTGTAGGTCTGAATGGTGTACGCATAAGTCGGATGTGAAGTTGTCACGTTGCTTGGTGGCCAGAATGTTACATCACTAACATTGATCCCTTTTTTCTACAAAAAAAAAAAAAAACACAGACCTTTTCTATTTCTCAAGCTCATGTACAGCTTGTAATATGTATTATTAAATTCATGCAAAAACTTTAAATTTATGGGTTGTTTTATAGTATTAAAGAGAGAATATCCTTCAAGAAAACAAATGTTGCTTTCTTATATATACTTGTATGATAAAAGTACATTTCTTATGCATATGGAACTATATATATTGAGAGGTTGCTTAAGGTATGAATGATACACTCATAAGTCATCAAATAGATATGAACTTTACAAAGTTGCCACATCGCTTGCCGCTCAAAATTAAATTGTCTGTTGTTTATAATGTTTTAAATATAGTGAAAGTATTCAGAAAACAAATGTTACTTACCAATTATCAATTGAGTTTTGATGTACTTTATTTTTAATTAGAATATGGTTTGTTCATTTTGATGAGTTTGCTATATTTTTTTTTCCTTTATACACAAAGCAAACCATAATTTTAAATATAAATTTTAGCCTTCAGATACACAATAGATCTTGGTGACTCAGGTATTTCCTTTTTCTCTTGTGATACATAAATCATTGGGAGGTTCACATTTTTTTTACTTTGTGTGAGATAATAGGAGACACAAGATGAGACAGATTGAGCCACCTTGCTTATTGGAGATTTGCATTTGCATACTTAAAGCACACTCCTTTCCTTAGAGATGATTCTTGAAGTGATATTTGGTATCAATGGATGAGCTTCCACTCCCTGCAGTTTCCCATTTAACTTTTGGATGTAATTTGATCTAATGCTTTTTACACAGCAAATGATTGAGAATTAAAAAAAAAATTCCTTTTCATACATAATTCTTTCATGCATATCAATTCACACCCAATCATGCATGATTACCATTAGATGAGACTGAATCTAGATATAATTGTGTGAATCATGTTTCCAGCATCCTCACTTTTCTCGCCAACTTAATATCAAGCTGTCAAAGTAGAAAATAAAATTCAACCTCAGTATATTATTTCTCCTTTTAGATATTTAACTGAAAAATTGCCAACATGGAAATTACATCTCCAATGATTCCGAATACCAAACACAAATCACCAAGTAACAAATACCTTATTAACCATCAGCCATATGGTCTAGTGATAGAATTGTGCTCTTAACCACATATTTAAGGTTCAATCCCTAGTCTCCAGGTACCAAAAAACAACAAATACCCTCTTAAACATGTTGATACAACCACATGACAAACTATCAAATAGCTTTACTGAGGAATGCTACTCCCTATATAAGTCGGCTTAACTAAGCAAGAACAGTTTCGTATTCATTTTCTTCTTGGCAGCATTCATACATCTAGTATCGGTCATGCCTGATTAAAAACAATAAGTTCCAGAATAATCCTTATCAGCACAGAAAACATTAAAAGCTTCACGCAAAAAACAAAAAGTAAGAAAAATAAGAAGGCAAATGTCTATCACTTGGTTTTGAGGTTAAGATCAAGATTCAAATCCAAGCAACAACTAACAAGTCACAATATAATGAGGTACTAAAGGAATGCCATCCCTTCATCAGCTCACCATAATCAAAAAGTAGTCAAGATATTTTAGAATTTAGATGAGATTAAAAAAAAAAAAAACAGGGTTTTTTATGTGAAGAAAAACAGCATTAAAATCTACAGTACAGGTGTTTGCTATTTACAACCATTTCTCTATACCGTATTCCAATACCAAGGGAAATATACTAGAAACAGATGATGGCACTCAAAAATGCTGAGCAAGATTCTTATCCTCATGAGGATAAGAGAAAAGAAAAAAGAAAGAACGAAAGAAAAGAAGGATGTAGCTTCAGGTGATAAGAGTTTCTTTGTTGCAAGAATCATAGAGGATTGTAGCTCACATCCTCAAATATATTTGATGCAACTGTCCTTGGTTTTTATCTTATATTTAGCTTCCTGGACTAAAAAACTAGCTAGAGTTCATCATTAAATTTGAAAAGAATGGTAAAAGACTCAGGTTGGCACATTTTACAATAATAGAATACAAATATTAGATTATGTTATTCATTTAACAAGTTAAAAAATGATCACAAAACAAAACTAATAATATATTATTAAACAAGCATGGGATATTGTTAAACAAGCACCTGTGGCGATCATGATCCCTAAAGCATTTCCTAGACCTTGAATGGGACCTGTGGTGACTTGTAGAATCATAAGTCCAAGAGCGCTCATACTCCCTATCACGATCTCAATCACTATACCTATCACAATCTCTGCTCCTACGATCATAATCCCTCCCTCAGTCACGACCATTCCCTCGGTCTTGGTCCCGACTTGATTCTCCCTCATGATCTCTGCTTCTTTCTTTCGATCTATACACCACCAATAAAAAGGATATCACAACACCCCCCCTCGCCACCCAATGGTTTACCCAAAGGAAAAAGGAAAAGAAACCACGTGAGGATTACCTCCTGTCATCATACCGATCAAGTTTGTGGCTCTAGTTTCTGTCTTCCTGAGAAAACAATAACCACCAAATACCACTGCTTGCTTCTTCCTAAAAGCTAAATGCCACTTCAATTTAGCTAAATATAACATGCTATGAGGACCATTAGGAAAGAATTCTAATGGTGGTAGGCATAATTAGTAGGCAACTTACCCTGACCAAATCAGGCCTTCATCAGATTTATTGTCACAGATTTCAAACATATGAAAAGCTCATTTTGTTCTCTTACATTACTTACAAAAAACTACTTTCTTGTACTTCTATCCTATTTGATTTCATGTTTCCTTTTTCCCAGTCTTTCAACAGAAAAAAACTAATCTATTAAAATTGGTTGAGCACCAAGACATTTCACATTTGATACATTTTAAGCCCAATATGCACAGACAACGTAGAAAATACTATGTTTTAAAGTCCAGCATCTACAAACAATCAAAAGAAATTGAAACATGGGAGATATTATTCTTCTCTGAGGTCAGAAAAACTCACAAATGATACTAACTGAGAATCTGTTTAGAAGAATGAGAAACATTATACCGGCACCTGACCAACATATTCACAATACTAGACTTAAGGGGATCCGGAAAAGATGTATTAAAATGTTGTTTTACTAGAATCCATTAGGTAACGGTGTTCAAATAAAGTTCTGATTATTTAAGAAAATAATAATAATAATAGACATGGTAAGCGGATAGTTCAAGCAATATATACAACCAACACCTTGGATGCCAGGCACAATCCCTAGTCTAATGTAACACTTAAAGCAGAGCCACCATAGACAGTCAGTATATAAATCATCTTACCTGAAGTTCTGCTAATTTATCACGGATTTGCATATAGCCTAAATGAAGTTTGCTTCCAAAATGATCTACTAAACGTTGGTCACTAAAAGGAACAAGAAAAATCAAATCTCTTTGACATAGAAACTTAAAAAAGGAAAAATAATATATATATATATTGCAGTAGTATGCATTATAGATTATACAGTTCCCCAATATTTATTATCTAACAATTGCATGATCTACAAATACAAAAACAGAAAAAGATGCACATTATGTAGCTGCAAAAGTTATCCTTGTAAAACTGGGCCCAAAGGCCTACTGGTGACAAGGAGGTATACTAGCCGGGTCAAAAGCTGAAGCGCTTGAAACCCCAAACACTAACTATTTGAAGCCCTTAGAAAGAAGATAAAAGGCTATTATCAAGAAGTAGAAGATAAAAAATGTAACTGTCATAAACACTCAAAAATGCTCCACAAATATCACAAACACGTAGCTTTTGATCAGTCTGAAACAAAATTTGATCATAAAGATTAGGGCAGATAAAATATTAACATTTAAATGGACTAAAAGAAAATTAAACTAAAATCAAATTATGACGAGGGACTATTCATGCATTAATTATGCAAATCAAATTCATATTTTCCCAATAAGGTCCAAGTGTGTCTAAGTTTTCTTATCTAGTTTTTATCATAGTTTTCCTTCTGTGAAATTGAAAGAAAGAAAAACAGAACTCATAATGCGAACATCAGCAGCAGTATACTTTGAGGAATCCAGAACAGGCTCCTGTCTGGCAAAAAGCTGAACATATGGAAAAATAATTATCCACAAATAATGCATCCCAAGGAGAAGGATATGGTGCAAGTTAATAAAAATCAATTTACAGAAATAACACTATTAAATTCAAAAATTGAAACCTTCTTGAGTGCTTCAGCCACTTCTAATGCTTTTTGTGCCTCGTCCACCATCCCCTTCTCACCTAAACAACAATAAGAGAGCAAGAGAGACTATTAATAAAACATGGATAAGTACATTTTGTATTCTTGAAAACTTTGTACAACACAGTTCAATAAAACACAGATAAGTACAGTTTTCAAACAAGTAAAATAGATTTCCAAATAACTAAAATTCAAACCCCAAGGAACCTTTGCTTAATACAACTGCCAGCCTTTTCCATAGATGTCAATCAGAAAGACTATAAATTTTGGGCTAACATTATGGACAAGAAGCCATTTCATTCAAGAGCAAGTCTTCAGCTTATTGATTTATTAGTTTCATTATCATTTCATCTTTTATCATTCAGAGATATTTGGGCAACTAAATATTTTTAATAGCCTTTCTGTATATTTTAAATGAAACCACCCTAAAGGCATTGTTAATGTAAGGCATTGAAAAAATAGTAAAGCAGTGAGTCTATCAACCATTGACAATTGTTTTGGAAGGGCATGGGAAACAAATTTTCTCACATTGACATTTTTTTTTTTATAGGAAAAAAGGTAAAAGCACAAACAGGAAGGAACATAAATTGGCATAATAAGTACCTCAGAAACAACTTAAGGATTAATGCTATTCCATTTCTAGGAATTTAAAGACAATGGAGAATTCAAAAAATGTTATTTAAGACATGCTACCTAATAGATATCTATCATCAAGAACTCAAGATGTTTATGTTATTTAACACATGCTACCTAATAGATATCTATCATCAAGAACTCAATATGTTTTTCTCCTTGTTTTACATTCATAAAAAATGGAGTTCAGGTAACCTAAGTCTGAACAAGGTCCTTAGCTTTCTTCAGCTTCTCATTTATCATTTCCTGGGTCTGAGGATTAGGTGCAGGCACAGGCAGTGGTGCCAAAGACGGAGGGTTTGGCAATGGTTGGGGCAGAGATGCCCGATCTTTATTGAATGCATCCAAAAGCAGTGTTGACTATAACAATAAACAGAAACATCATATACACCAAGAGACTAATGTTATACAAGAATCAAACTATGAGGAACTTAATACACACTAGATATAAAAAATCCTGATATGAATAAATCAATACCTTCAGAGACCTATTTCAAATACTACATCTAAAGATGCTATCATGTACTTGTTTATCTACTCTTTTATTTCTAAGCTCTTCTACTTCTTCTAGAGCTCGTGTTTTAAGATCTGTCTTGCCTTCAAGATCTACAAACCAAAAAGAAATCATGTACACCCCAAAGCTAATCACAAAATTTACACAATTCATCCACAGTAAATATTAAGACAAAGGACAAAGAAAATATTATGCAACATAATTGTTGTATGTGCAACATTTAGCACTTTAACAAAGCACTTGTAAAAAGGCTTCAAAAATCAAACATGATATGGCTTACTGGGAAGTCATCAAGTCAAGCAATGTAATGTTACAGATTTGATATAATCACTGAAACCAATCATCTATTAAACTCCCAAGCCAATCATATATTAAACTTCCTAACAAGAGAAATTTCTCAAGAATTCTCAAAAACTCATTTACAAAGGTTGCGACAAAAGTGAAAGTGTGACACAGCATTACTTTGTCATGATAATCTGCCATTTAAAGGCACATTGAAGGATGTGAACAGTTCTCCATTCTTTGGTACCATTGTCCAAGTACTCCAGAATATGTAAGGAGACATAGCCTTTGGCTGAATTCAACTATATTGATTTAATCTTAACTACCCAAATATATCAACCAAACAAATGGATACTCTGAGACAGTCTCCTCACTTTAAAAATACTGATTGAATCATTTAATCACTCTTTTTATAACAAATTAAACACCTTATAGTTGAAATAATGGGGAAAGCAGTCAAACTCCAACTATGGTTACCCCCCTGTACCATAAAATCAAAATCTTAAAATTTATGAAATCTGTTGAACCTACAAACAAAAACTTCACAACAATTGACAGCACTCTGAATCAATTAATTCAAAGAAGAATAACCACGTTAAATCAATGAAAACAAATCAATTACTTGTCATCAATTGGCAAGGCAGAAAATGCATCTTTGTTCCAATTCAAGAGTCACACCTCGTACATATAAACCTCAATAGAAAATACTAGCAGCCCACCCAACCCAAACCCCTCCTTTTATACATAACCTTCGAAAGGCAATTTGAAAACAAGGAATTTAAGAATAAAAGTGAAATAAAATCTCAAACTCAACATCAAAAGTAGATAGATTTCAACAAAAATCAAATCATAAAAGCTTAACTAATACCACAAGAAGCCAGATGCTTCCTATGTTAATTTAACTTTAAAAAAAAAAAAAAAAAGGATGAATAAATAAAAATTTTCTCAAAAGAAAAAGATCTTAAGTGATAACTTAGAGATATCCCTGAAAAAATAAAAGAGAAGCTAGTGCTAAAATATGATACCATATTGATCAGCTTCTTTCAATTTCTCCTTAATCTGCTTTGAAAGCTCTAGTACTTCTGGTGTCTATAACATCAACATAGAAAATAAATAAATCTGTAAGTCCAAAGTGGGAGAAAGGTCAGACAGATAAAATGAAGACTTATGCAAAACCTAAGTAACTTCAGAGACTGATATAGCAATAGCAACCCTTTCATCCTCATCTTCAAAACGCTTGAGAGCTCTACCAATTTTCCTATCACACTCACCAATGAGCCTATCAATAGCATCTTCCAACTCTCTCTCATAATTATCAATGCCCTTTGCCTTAGCTTCTTCATATCTAGAAGGGTTAAGCAACCGCAGATGCAGAAATACAGAAACTACTAAAAGTGAATAACAAAGGCATATCATCAGCAGAAACATTACTTCTGAAAAACAAACATAAAATACCTACTACTAAAAAAGCACCTATCCAGCATTGTGAGTAATATAAGGATACTCTCTTCTCAGCTGCAAAGAGTGGAACTTTGGACATGGTCCCATATCCATTTTCTGAACAAGACAAAACACAAGATTGAAATCAGAAATCCTAAAGTTTCTATAACTAAAAAGGAAAACAAGAGGAAACAACAAGTTTGAAATCAAAAATCCCAAAGTCTCAATAACTTGCAAAGAAAACTATAAACAAGTATCTGCAACTCAAATGTGACCAAAACCTAAAGTTGAACATATAAGAGTTTACCACATAAGAACAATGAAACCCATGAATACTACAAGAGCATATAGTATTTACCTAAGAAACTCATCAAAATACCTTCCCCAACGCATAAAATGATACGTGTCATACCAGTTGACAATAAAAAACAGGATTGTAAAGGAGAAACTAATTAAATTTGTAAAGAAAAATGGATCACAACCAAAAATACCTAGTTTATTTGTCTTACCTCTTACATACGGATGATAAAGAGAGAATTTAATGCCGTAGCACAATTTTCTTTAGGACACCTCACAAGTAACCAGAATAAGCAATTGAAAGTAAACAGATACGGCATCATTATCATTTGAATTTATATCTCTTCCAAATATACCCATGATAAAATAGAAAACTGATATCCATGACCCTTGTTCTAATTTATACTGATAATAGGCTACCAAACTAACCCAAAAATAGCAAATAATAACATACCTTTGCTATTCATGCATAACTACCACTTCTTTTTGCTTGTTCTTTATATTTCATTAAAACCACTTTCGAAATGCTTCCAGTAGCAGTCTTCATAAATACATGTAATTTAAGCTTACCACTAATTCAGCAACTTTTCGCTCTCCCTCCATCTCAGAATCCCATTTTTCACAGTAAAACAAATGACAAATTTCAAACATCTCTTCTTAATTAGGAGTTAGGGCATAACAAAAACCAGATTATGTGTTGCTCCCACACTCACCCCAACTCAACCAATCTCTCTTTCTAAACTTCTCTTGCCTCTAAAACACCAAATTCCTCAGAAACCAAACACAGACAAGCAATTCGAATTCATAAACTAGGGTTCAAAAGGAAAGAGATGGGTACGAATCATTTAACAATTAACGAAACATAAAGAAAAGATAAAAAATAAATAAAGAAAGGAATCAATCAGGAGAATACCATTAATTGGAATAACTTGTGAGGACAAAGGCGGAACAAGTCATATTCAAACTTCTCTACGGTCTACATTTGTCTAATAAGTGTATCTCTCTGAGTCTCTTGTACATGTAGAGTCATATTGGGATGCTTTCTTAATTAATTCCTTACTTCCCACATTGTTTGGCACCCAAAATGTTACCTCATTTCCTAAAACTGATATATATATTTTGTGTCCATTTGCAAAT